CGGAAAGCAAAGCTCAAGCATGTAACACATCACACTTTTTTAATTAAGATTGAGGTCAAAATAACTTTGCTGGGTTGGAAAACAAGAGTGTTTGTACCTATTTGTTGTACCTTTAGGGTTTTCAGGTTTGGATGGAGTTACTCTCCCACATGATCCTTCAGGCCTGGACAGACCCGGATAGCCCAGCTATCGACTCGCTGCTGAACGCAGTGGGCTATGCAGCCTAAGGCAATGTAAGGAACCCCTGCAGCTGCACCTCTACAGTGCCACCCACTATCAGTTCAATGTTTTCTCCTCATACTTGTACTGAGGTTGGATAAAGAGTAGAAGAATCTGCAACTCAGTCCCACTGTTTCCTTCAGTCTGCCTTTTCCAACAAACCCAACGTCACAAGCAGGCAAACACAAGAGAAGTTCATGCAGCACAGAAGAGCAGCTTGAGTGCAAGGAACGGGGAATAAATGAGACCCCACGCAGCGTTTATCAGTGTTAGTTTTTATCTCAGCGTTCCTTGGGAAGTTTATAAAGAAATCACTGCTAAATGATGCTTTTTAGTCTAAACATTTCATTATTGAAATTACAAAAGCTGTCGCTGCATTGACTAGATGACAAATCCCTGAATGTCCCTGCATGCCCAGGATACAGCTTCAGCAGCCTTGACTTGTGTTACACTAGTCTTCCACACAGAGAGAGGCCCAAGCTGCACCAAACACTGCACTTATTACGGTGGGCTGGAAATCAATTGGTAAAACATAAAATAGTTACTGAAAAATCAAACTTGATAAAAATAGAAGTTTAAACTGCTGCTTTAATCAATGTTTGTATCAGATTATTGTAACTGTACACCAAATATCAAAGGACTATTTAGGACTAACGTCCTCATCAGTAGGCTCATCTATCAGCATGACCAGGACACAAGGAGATCGGTGTTTAGCCGGCACTGGAGTACAGCACAGCTCCGAGGCAGAGGGAATACGAGCATCATAGCACAGAGCAAAACAGTGGTTGGAATATAATACACCAAATCTGCAAAGTCAGTATCCCTGATGATTCTAACCAAAACAGCAACCCAGAAACCGTGACGTTAATCACAGCTTCAGCATGGAACACTAAATGTACATTTCTAAGAGTAAAGAAATGAGTGACGGATGGGAATCAGTCTCCCAGATTTTCCCATGTATGCTGTGAAATCAGTGGGATCTGCACAAAATACCAGTATCACCTATTACACAGGTTTTAAAGTGCATTTTGTCCATTTGAGAAAGGAATAAAATACCAGTGGGACACAGTGACTCACAACCAGAGAAAACATTCCCGTCAGCGTCGTTCACAGCGAAGCAGGGGTCAGGGGAAATCCATCCTTCCCCTTTCCAGCTTGTGCACATGCACCTAAAGACAAGGTTCTCCACACAGCTTGAGAAGCCCCCAGAGTCCTCTCTCTTGATCACAACTGTACAGTTTTCATCCAGGTGGGGTCCGATGGTAGTCCACCGTCTCACAGCACTGTACTTTGCCAACGAGCATGGAGAAAACATGGATTTATTTCAGTCAATTCAGCATCCTCAGTCACATGCACGTATGAGAGAACAGTCATTCTGATCAATGAGTACCAGTCCTGTGTTTCTTGGAAGACTTATTCAATTTTCCAAATCTGCAACATTCAGATCTGTTTCACAGCATTCCACTATTTCATGTTTCCATTTCCTATGCAATTTGCAATACCAACTTATTTACTGTGCACGTGTATATCTGCTTAAAAATCAATTTTATTTATCACCAAGGAATTCTTTCACAGATTGATACTCCAATCATCACCCTCTGAAATAATACTTTATTTCTAATACTAGATAGAATTAATATTTCAGTTAAAGAAGTATTGAAATATTCACTATAGTAACAAGGAAGGGAAAGTCTGCATGCCGGCAGTACCTGTAAGGAAAATGCTGCTTCAGAGCCAATTTGCAGGCATCAGGGGGTGACACAACACTGAGTAACACTTGTATGTAACACGTGAAGTCAGTTGCCAGTGAAATGCAAAAGATCCAGGAATTTAAAAAACAAAGGAAAAGTAGCTACCACCTTGAAAGCTACCGGTAGTGACAGCACAACGCAACTCTTCGCTACCACAAGCACGGTACCAGCATCTAGGAGAACAAGGCTACGCTTCTGCACACCACGTGGGTGATGGAACAGGGCTGAGAATGCACCGTGTCGGTACCGGGCAGGGCCGGCATCGGCCTTGAGCAGAGCTTTCCGATCTGCAGAACAACAAGAGACACAGCTACAACATAGGAGACTTCAGCCCAGCTAACAGGAAGGTTCAGGTAAGAGCTGAAATCCAGGGAGAGGGGGGAAAAAGCAATAAGCAAAGACTAGTTTCAGTACATCAGAAACATGAAAGATTTATTGCTGAAGCAAAAGTGTGAACACGAAGTTGCACGCGGCAGGAAGGGACCGCTGGAAACCAAAGCGAGACCTTTGGCCAACTAATGAACAATTTGGGAGCTGAAACCCTCAGGAAAGGCGCTCCCTCTGAACAAGCAACCGCAGCAGAACGAACACAACACAGGCAGAAGACAAAACTGCTTTTTTTTTTTTTAACTCTTTTCCTTTTTTTTCTCTCCAAACAAGCAAAGTAAGCAGCACACCCTGACACAGCCCGTCAGCCCACACTGATGGTGTCTTGAGTACAGAGGGAGTTCTGAGAGCCATTGGTAATCCTCCCCGTCTCGTTCAGGTTCTGTCCGCAAGGAATTCTACCTAAACACGAGGCTCTGGCCTGTCTCAAAAATCACAAATAAAGGATGTACAAAAATTGGCAAATGGCCACTTGGTTTGAATCTCTTAAACCTTTCTGGTTTAACCTTGAGATTCTAAAAGTGATAAAAAGAAAGAAAAAAGTGGGCTGGAGATGCAGGCAGTTCAGAAGCAGGATTTCAGAACCGAGCCATACCTGAGCAGAAGTTTGAGGCCACCACTGGCCAAGACCGCTGAGCAGGTCTTCAAAAGGAAACAAAGTTCTGCTCTCAAGTGTAAAACCGTGCTTGCTGACCCATTTTCAAAGATGGACTAATTTTCAGCCTGGACAGGGCGTGACGCAGGATGCTGTTTGCTGTCAGGGGTGGGCACACTCCACTAAAATCTGACATCTAAAACAAAACTTGAACCAGAATCAACGATAGGATAAGATAACAAGTAAGTTTTTAACTTAAGTAGACTAAGTAAGGTTTTGTTGTTGGGCTGTTTTTTGGGAGGGAGTTGTTGGGGTTTTGTTAGAAGCAGTATCTGGCAAGGCTGGTTTTGATAAAGCTGGAGCCTTCGGCTATCCCACTCGGTGCAAACTACAACCTGCAGCTCTCCTCTCTCACTGCTCTCCAATGGCTGGCACAGAGAAGGGGAACGGAAAGCTACATAACTGCGTATGGACATTCATAAAGCCAAAGAGATTACGGGTGGAAGCTTCCAGATAATCCACAAAACACAAAGGGAGCTGAGCCCACATTTCTACCATCAGGAAGGCTCAAATTGTTACATGAACCAATTAATTTTTCAAATCAGAGTCTGCTCGAGTAATAACTTGCCATGTCACACATGAATCGTTTGCTCATGGTGTGAGGGGAAAGCAAGATCCCTGAGGCTGCAAAACTGGCACTCATCTCTTAGGCAGCAGTGAAGAAATGAGCAGTGAGACTTAAGGACCTAAGAGCCACATCCAAGAGATTCATGTTGCTATTGCTTCTCTAATATGTAATTATGGCTATGGAGGAGTAACGTTTAGCAAGTCAAAAACTGATTTAATTAATAATTCCTTGACAGACCTATTTCAGATTTAAACAGATCAGGGCACTCATCCGTCAAATGGCTAATTTTAGTGCCAGGCCTAAGTACACAGCAACATTGTGAAGTTTAACAACCTATAACCAAAATGTTTGCAACAAAAGGGCCTTAGGTAGTTGAATTAGACATCACCTGGAAATCACGTTGTTCTATTGCTACAAATGAAGCCAAAGTGATAACCAAGTGCATCAAAAGGTTATAACCTGGGTAGGTAAAGGTTGTACAGCTTTTAGAGAGCTATAAGGGAAAATAAATTAAAACCAACATAAAATATCAGAGCTAAGAGGGCACTGGAAATAACCACAGGCTTAGGATCTTCAGCTTTACATACTTAGTTGAAGGACAGGCTGTAGGGCAGTTTACTGCTATTCATAGCTACCTGAAAAACAAGTATCATTCAGATGTGTCTGAACTATACACTAATATGTTACACAAAGAATTAAATAAGTTAAATGACAGAGGTTTTGCCATTTACACCAGATGCTAGCTAGCCTTGAAATCCTCTCCCTCAGAACACAGCTCAAAAGAACTCAAGCGTCCCACAGCTGGGGAGAGAGGAGAACAGTTTTAATGCGGACACCACTGTTACTTTATTCATTAAACAACTCTTGCTTCCGAACTGGGACTCGAGAGGAATCTTCCTACTGGACACACTGGCAACTATCTTTACTGCCTGGCGCTATCAGCATAGGGAACAATTAAAATCCAAATGTGTCTCCATGGATTACAGGTCACTGCTAAAGTCTGAAGCCCTTATAGCTTGGTAAATAACCATTTAAATCATCTTTGTTGGTTTTATTTTAGTCAAACGAATTATGTAGGTTGAGGGGGGTGGTTGTTTTTAAGTTTTAAACATGAACTGGAGCTGCCTTCGCTGCGGCTGGAGCAGGGGAAGAGGCCAGCGCAGAAGGGAGCTTGCTCCCTCGCACCAGCTCATCTAGAGAGGTGCGCGCAGGTCCTGGAGCCCGCAGGGTGTCCGACTGTCCTCACAGCAGGGAAGGTCTGTCTCTGTTCCACATTAACATCTGATGCAGGAGTCTGGGGAGTGCCTTACTGAGCCCCTGTGAAGGAAGGACTGGTTCTGTGTTCTGACTAACCTCGATTTACAGAGAATGCCTCAGCTCTACCTCAGGTTGCTACAGCTCCTCACCCCACAGCGGCGTGAGGGCATCCTCTGCGTTAGTGCAGGTAGAAACGTAACCGTTTAGAGAGGCAGTTGAACTGAATCATTTTTTTGCAGACCCAAAAATAAAACCAATCTGTTATTATGAACCTTTATTAAGCGGCTCACATTTCAGTATAAATCACACTAAAAAGATTTTTAAAAAAGATATTTACACTACAGTGCTGACACATTTAAAATGAAAAAATTGGTATAAATAAGCTCTATGGAAAAGCCTGGAATTGTCAAAAAGAATTCTGGCTCATCTTACAAAAAATATATATGTTAAATGTCAGCTCTACTCTAAAACCTACAACTCAAAATTATTTAAAGACTTCTTTATGTTAAACCTGCAGTGTTTACAGTGCATCTGGCCCTAAGTGCTTTGATACTTCACAGTTATGGACAGGCACTGAGGAATGTTACAAAGCTACATAACTATTTTCTGTAACAGATGCGAAGGCAAGTCACAAACTTGCCTCACAGAATTTATGAATCTTTACATTATTACATCATTAAGTTTAAAAAGGAATTTAAAACCATATGTACAAATTTAGCACAAAAAATCATCCTCTCTTTGTCCATGCAGTTTTGGATATGATGAACTATGTTGTCTTGTATCATCTGGATGTACGTGACCTCCAGAACATAACTTGCCTTGTAAGTCCTTGCTGCCGGGTTCAAATTTAGAATCCATTTCCAACTTAAATGCCGTCAATTCAACGTGATCCAACCTAGTCTGAACAGTCTGGCCCGCGGCGTCGTTAGGTGCCCCTGTCTTTTCAGGCAGGTCGACGTCCATGGGTTCTTCCTTTATTCGGTGAGAGGCGATAGGTTCGTGTTTTATGGGCACGAATTCCTTCTGCAGGTACTTTGTCTGGAGAGCAGCTGAATGTTTGGTGTCTTCGGAGGTATTTTTGCTCATCGTACAAATTCTGCTGTCAGTCTGAAGTCCAATAACCGAAGACTTGGGGTCTGCAGAGGTCCCTGCTTCAACAGTACTTGTATTTTGAGAGAGTTCTTCCTCCGAATGGTACAGCTTGAGCCGGATGTGCCAAGCCAAACTGCACACAGCTGAAACTGTCTTGAACTGGTGCACGACATTCCTTGGGATAAAATAAATGTCATTATCGAATAACTGGATTCTGGCGTATCGAATGCCTTCCCTTCGCAGCTGATTGAGTTTTGCATCATCAACCCACTGGACACACTGGAGGAGCAAAGGGAAAGAAGGAAAAAAAAGGGGTGAAAACTCTGATTTAGCCTCGGTGGATACCCCATCAGCAGTGGCGAGCATGCTTACCTGTGAGAGTGGAGGCTCATGCAAATCTAATTGCATTCGCTGAACTACCTCTAAGAAATCTTCAGCATGAAAACAAATTACATCTTTGGTTATACGAGGCTGCTCAGACCTACAGAAGAGCAAGAATTGCACAGTCAGAGCCAGAAACTAACATGCTACAGAGAATAACAAGGAAAATGTGCAAGTAAGGATAAGCAAATGATAACAAAAGCATAGCCTACATTTTGAAGGAAGAAAGATTGCCTGAACCGGCAACTTCTCAAACACAACCTCATCCAACTGGTTAAACAAGGTAACCACAATTTCTTTACAAGTGCAGTAAAAGCAGCAACGAAAGGTCATCACAACTCAGTATTTTTAGTCTTTATTTTCAACTCACCTCTGTCTGTCTTGATGCTGAAAGACAGATGCCCCAGATACACTGGGCTTACTCTGTCACAATACCCCCATCAGGTACCTCACAGCATGCAGCAGCCTGACTAGTACTGTGGCAACCACTGCTTAGTATCTTCACCTCAAACATCTTGCTCAGAGTTGGTAGTAAGGCTGAATCTGCACTAAGCTGCCACAATGCAAGTACGTGACAAACACTGGCATCCTCTACAAGACATCCCTGAAGAATACAATCCTATTTGTGCTCACTAGAGAGCTACAGAAGAGCGAAATCTGAATTAGGGTTTATTTCTATATTCAAACTATAGAAGAATTCACCTCTTGTCCCACAGTATCTCCCCCAACATTCGTATCATTCGTCCAGAGACATTATCTAGAATTAGCTAACAAAAGGCAAAACCAGCTATGACCCTTTATCACCTTCTGATCTAAAAGCCAAACTCACTTCTTCAACAGAAACATACAAAACTAAAGATATAAAGATTTCATTTATATAGGATAAAGCTCACGCTGCAGTGGTTTTGCAAGAGAAATTTATCAGCCAGAAAGCCTGGTTGATGACTACTCTCCTTCATCCTCTGCCACGTCCTGCCCAGGCTGACAGGAGCCGTCAGACACCACATTCAGGCTATGCTGAAAGGAACCGAGAGCCACTGGGGTCCCCCCAGCTCCTGCACACACCCCAGGGGCAGCCTGCCCCTCACCCTGCACCCCTCTGCCACCTCCACCCTGCCACACAGAGCCACAGCCTTGGACCTGCTGCACCCAGGGCAGGAGCTGTCACCGCAGAACAGCTCAATGCATGTCGGCATTGGTTTAATGGATGTTCCAGCACTCTTTTGAAAGCAAGATTATAATCAATTTTTGTATTTTTATACACATACACACAGTGTTATTAATGATTCACAAAGCAGGCAATGATGTGCAGTTTACTGGGCTTTTTTAAACTGACAAGCCATGTTTGTTTTATTTGGGTCATGACCTCAATAAAGCAAAAAAATAACCAGTCTGAGGCTATTTTTAGAGGGGAAAAAAGTCCCAGATCAACTCCTAAAAGTACACTGGGGAGAGTGTGCAGACCACATGTTTTACTTTCAGTTTTACAGAGATTAAAATAACCTCTCTATATTTTGATCTCTCTACTCCTGAAGAGGATTCAAGCACTGAAAGCAAAAAGCTGTAGAAACATCTCTGATTGGTGACATAAAAAAAGCATTAGCTACATTCACCTTCTTTTCATAATGTAGATCTGTTTGGTTGTTTTGGGTTTGTTTTTTAACACACATCTGCCTCTGGAGTTGACAGTGTTTGTAAATGAAGTTAGCAATTAAAATAAAGACAAAGAATATCAAGGCCAGGTTAGACAGGGCTTGGAGCAACCTGCTCTAGTGGAAGGGGTCCCTGCCTGTGGCAGGGGGTTGGAACTGGATGAGCTTTAAGGTCCCTTCCAACCCAAACCAGTCTGGAATATTATGAATACCTGCATACTAAAAGAAATTCAGTCCAAAGCAGTATGTTCACAGCAGTGTCTACTCTGTTTTACACATTATACAGGAGAAAGTATAGTTAACAATTGTTTGTACATCGTTCCTTTTTCAGTCCCTATATATACGTACAGCAGTAGCAGTTACCAACTGTGTTGCAATTCTATCACAAAACATGACCTTCCTTTTGCAAACATAACACAGAAAAGATTATTGCCACATAATTTTTAATCCTGCACTTGCAGATTTGGTATTTAGCACAACTTTGAGACTGTATTTTGTAAAACCTAAAGTTTAGAGGGTGTTGTGTCCCCACCACCACCACCAGCAAAACAGTAGCAGAATAGTTCAGTTAGATGTACAAATAGGTATTCAATCCAAACAGAACTGTAACATGACTTCAGAAAACTCCATTTAAGTCCCTCCTAGAGCACTGCTAGAACTATTTTTGACCATATTTTCCCTTAACTTCACTCTTCAAAAGGGCTGGACTCTTCTTGCTGTAACTTTTCAAAACAGATTCAAGACTACAGATTTTACCACAAACATTTCTGACCTAACGCATCAAGTATGGCAGTATATAACAACTCTGGCTGTATATAACAAATTCCTGTGATCATACAGAGAAGCACTAACAACTTCACACTCTGGAACACCAACTTGAAAGCTGGTTGCTGAAACACGGGACAGAGGGGTTTCATTTTGCCAGCAGCAATGCTATGAAGTACCTTTTGCTGTCCCTGTCACAACCCATCCACATTTCCCAAGTAAAAATCTTCAAAGTTCCCATGATTTAAAATCTCACTGGCTTTTCATGAGTTCTAAAGCACACTTGGTATCACTACAAAAGTAGCATTAGGTAATCAGCATGATCACAACACCAGTGCTTACCAGATCTCAACGCAGTTCTGTCTTTACAACGCTTGCTAGCAACAGCCAACGCTCCTCTACGATTTGTAAACATTCACAGAATTAAAGTAGGATCATAACCCAGCTGTTGTACAAAGCATCTCAAATCAAGAACCTGTCATATTTGGGAAAGCAAAAATGCTTTTTGTGTTCTTCCAAATACTATGTTTTGTTTCCAGTTCTGTCCTCTCACCCCAAAACTGCTTTTTGCCTTTCAGCAGTTCTGTTCCTGTCTTTCCTGCAAGATGCCAGCTCTCCTACCTAACATGAACATTCATGCCTATCAGCTACTAAGTGAATCCCACTTTCTTCAGATCTCCAGCATCTCCTTGATTACAGAGCTTTTTTTGCACACCCAATTCATTTTTATACGACCTAAACACAACCCTGTTCAGCAAGGCCAGGAATGGCTTTACTTTCCCTTCACAGAAAACATGAATTTTATATATGGTATCCCATCGTTAAAACATGGGCATTTTTCCTGCCAACAGATCCTGGCATCAAACTTGGACTGTCTCCAGCTTTCAGAGATTTCTTTAGAATCCAGGTTGTTTGTTTCATTTTTTAAATCAAACAGATTTAAGAGAAAAAAAGAAAGCCAGATTTTTCAGAACTTCCATGCATGTCGTTTCCTTTAAACTAGATCTACCCACAGCTTACAAATTAAGGCAAAACTAATATCTGAAATTATCTAATGTGTTACAGTAATTAATGATGCTTCGTTATCCTAAACCCTGATTAGTTCTCTTCATGTAAGTACAATAAAGTGGCTTTTCCAAGTTATACAAGAGAGTGGAAAGGGAAAGGGGAAAAATTATCACTGAGGTCAAATCAAGCTTGAAATACGTAATTTTTGTGTTGACTGTGTTACATATTTTCCTCCTTTACATATGTCAGACTCAAGTTTTTTATTTGGCATTAAAAGATGTATTTTCAGTTCTTTCACTGAAATGAAATGCTGGCAGTTACTTATTTTCCCCAAAAAACTCCTGTACTTTCAATTCTCTCAGGCACTTCTGCCCATTTTCAGCTCACTTTTTAATCCATGCTATTTTTATTTTGACTAATTCCAGTCATTTTTTCAAGTTTAAAGGGAATATCAGCAGAAGATGAATAGAAACCCTTTTCCACAAGTGCCAGCATATGAGAAAAGATGATGATTTAGACCTGAAGAGCAAGAAAACTTTTTTTGGAATGCAAATGCACATGTGATGATTTCTAAGGCAGGAGGATCTTGTTAGGAAGGTACAGGATGTATGGGCAATTCCCATGGCATCTGAATTACTATCAATTTAAACTCCTGTTAATTTCCCCAGGCATGCAAGACTGTCTCAGCTCTTGCCCTTCCACTGCTACTTAGTCTTGATTCACTCCAACTTCTCAGAGCAAGCAGGAAGTCTGAGGTTCCAGCTATCAACCTGAAAAGGAACTAAGCTGCAAATCCTCAGAGCCCAACAAACAAGCACAATAACATCTAACAATCCAGTTCCTCCCCAACAGGAATTATTCCATTTTCTGTCTCCATGAACTCCTGCCCTGTAACACAAATTTGCATCTTTGCATCCAAAGGGAATTCACTCTTCTAATTTCTAGACAGATACAAACACCAAAAGGTGTTTTTAGTGTTTATATATGCAAACCTTCAGAACTAAGGTTATGCTCCCACACCAGAGCCAGAAGATCCTGAAAAATGCTTCTTGGACCCAGGCCAGGAAGCCCATATGATTATGGGCTTTTTATTTGGCTAAAATGTAAACAGCTTCAAATAAGATACATTTACTTCCTGAATCTCATATGGGAATTCCAAAGACAGACACCAACCTCCAACAGGATCATTCCTAGGTAATCTATCATAAATAAACCAGAGTTTTAACAGCCATGACTTTGAAGCAGAAGCATAAAGATTCTGCTCGTTTCCAGACAACACAAAGAATCTCCTGTGTACCTCTGAGGCAGAAACTTGGGTCAGTCCACATGCACTACTTAAAGCAAAACAAAGTGTGACATGTTTTTACAATTAACAATAACTCTGTTACAGCAACCTTAATATAGATGTAAAACTATCACTGCAAGGCACCTTTCTCCTTTGAACCCCACAGCAATGCTGTTTGCAGTCTAGCAGAGGGCAGACAAACACAACTAATGCACAGAGAGAGACGAGGGGGAAAAGAACTCCAGTATCTACCAAGTCTTCATTAAATCCCTAATACTAGATTACCTATTCCTTCTACTAATTATAAATGGAAATCAAGGCAGGTATTTTTCAAACACCTCAAGTGTGAGTCACCACGTACCACTCTCCACAGTGCACAGCCTTCAACACTCCCACAGCAGCTGTAGTCTGTCTTTCAAAGCCTTGTCCTATGTGATCTGCATGGGCTCGTGTCCGGTCTTCAAATAGCATTTCACGGGGTTCACTGGTTCGAGGTAGGTACTGCAAGTTTTTGATTTCATTGGTAGTTCTGTAGTAGAAAAACAGCATTAGTAATAGAGAAATTGTTCTTAAATACCTAACTTCCACCACAGCCAACAGGAGTGGGTTTCTCCCTTCAGTGGGGACATGCAGCCAAATGAACAAAGCAGTAACACTTGGGACATATTCCAAATCCAATAAGCTATGTGAAAAATCAGAATAGCTATGCAGGTAAAGAAAAAACCCCAAACAAACTAAACCCAACAGCAACTCAGTGTCGGGCCCTAATGATGGAGCAACCCACCTGCATTCTCCACCTACAAACCAGGCCATAGAGCCCAGGAACTCTATTTAAGCCATGCTGCAGGAGCACTGGTCCGCACCTCAGCCACAGGTGTGCTGGGCCATGGACTTGCTTCCCAGCTTGACCCTGGGACATCTTTGCCATGACAGACCTGCCTGGACATCACTGGACCCGATTCTCACTGGCAGACTGACCTCAGACCTGCCCCATCACCACACTCTTCCCTGATGCTCTGGAGGCTGGACTGAATCTGGTCCCCAAGCCCCAGGTCTGCCCTACCAGCCTCCCTCTGGCACTGTGAGACCAGCCCCTGCCGTGAGCAGCCCCTGGCAGGGAACTGCTGGCCTTTGCTGCTTCTCAACTATGAGATACACTTGCCAATTCTCCCCGAAGTGTTTCTTCATCATTCATGTTTCTACCAAACTGCTGGGAAATGCATATGGATATTCAGTTCCATGTTGCAGAACTGGGAATGAGGAACAGCAAAAAATTATTTCTTCAGGGTTTAAGGGAAGTGAAGGAAATGCTGCAGAGTGGGATCAGAGCCACAGCACCATTTTCTGGAGCCAACATTGTGTGCCACATTCTTCCAAAAGCTATTTATAATCATAACATAGCCAAGGCTGGAAAGGACATCCAGAGACTTCCCCCACTCAACTAGAGCAAGTTGCTCAGGACCATGTCCAGCCAAGTTTTGAGCAACATCAATGACAAAGACTCCACAAGCTCACTGGGCATCCTGTCCTAGCGCTCAACCATTCATACAGTAAACTTATTTTTCTTTTTTTTTTTTCCTTATTTTAAATGGAATTTCTTGTAATTCAGTTTGTGCCCATTACCTCTGGTCACATTACTGGGCATTGCTGAAAAAAGCCCTTCTTACAACTTCTCATCAGATGCTTATATGCACTGATAGGATCCCTTTAAGCAGTCTTTCTCAAGGGTAAATCCCAGTTATCATTAAATGGGTTGAGTTGGAAGGGACATTCACGCAGTTCCAACCCGCCTGCCACAGGCAGGGACACCTTCCAGTAGACCAGGTTGCTCCCTGTGTCCAACCTGGCCTTGAACACTGCCAGGGATGGGGCAGCCACAGCTTCTCTGGGCACCCTGTGCCAGTGCCTCAGCACCCCTACAGGGAAAAACTTCTTCCTAATATCTAATCTAAACCTACCCTCCTTCAGTTTAAAGCCAATTACCCTTGTCCTGTCCCTACATGTCCCCATAGAAAGCACCTCTCCAGATTCCTTGTTGGCCCCTTTTAGGTACTGGAAGGCTGCTCTAAGGTCCACAGCCCTCTCTTCTCCAGGCAGAACAAGCCCAACTCTCAGCCTGTCTCCATAGGAGGGGTGCTTCAGCCCTTTGATCATCTTTGTGGCCCTCCTCTGGACCCACTCAAGCAGGCCCATGACCTTCCTCTTCTGGGGGTTCAGAGCTGGACACAGTACTCCAGGGTGGGGTCTCAGGAGAGCAGAGGGTCCAAATCACTTCTCTCAACCTGCTGGCCACGCTCCTTTTGATGCAACCCAGCAAACAGTTTCTGAGCTGTTGGTGCACACTGCTGGCTCATGTTGAGTTCTCCCGTCCTCGCCTTTTCCATCACCAGACCTGCTCCAGGATGACTATGTCTGTCCTGGGCCAGCAACCCCAGAACTGGACATGATACTCCTCAACCTGCTGGCACTGTTCTTCCTAACCCTGTCCAGGAGGCTGCTGGGAGGCTTTGCCGCAAAGACACACTGATGGCTAATGGTCAACCTGTCATCCACCACGACGCCAGAGTCATTCTCTGTGGGGCTGCTGTCCAGCCAGTTGGGCCCCAGCCTATATTGGCACAGGGGGTTATTCCTTTAGGTACAGGGCTTTGCACAGCCCTGTGTTAACCTCATCAGTCCACTGAGGTGGCTCATTCCTACAGCCTCTTAAGGTCCCCGTCAGTGGCAGTGCAACTCTGTGGTGTGTCCACCATTCCTTCCAGTTTTGTATCACCTGCAAAATTGCTGCGGGTGTGTGGCACTGGGGAGGCTGCACCTCAGACACTGTGTCCAGTTCTGGGCCCCCCACTCCAAGAGAGACACTGAGGTGCTGGAGCAGTTCCAAAGAAGGGCAACAAAGCTGGTGAAGGGTCTAGAGCACAAGTGTGATGAGGAGCAGTGGAGGGAACTGGGGTTGCTTACCCTGGAGAAGAGAAGGCTCAGAGGAGACCTTATAACTTTCTACAACTACCCAAAAGGAGTTTGTAGTGAGGTGGGGGTCAGTCTCTTCTCACAAGTAACAAGACAAGAGGAAATGGCCTCCAGTTGTGCCAGGGGTAGTTTAGATTGGATATGAGGAAAAATTTAACCACTAAAAGGGTTGTCAAGCACTGGAACAGGCTGCCCAGGGAAGTGGCTGAGTCACCACCCCTGGAGGTATTTCAAAGGTGTGTAGATGTGGCATGTAGGGCCATGGCTTAGTGGTGGACTTGGCAGTGCTGGGTTAATGGTTGGACTCGATGACAAAGATCTTTTCCAAGCTAAATGATTCTATAATTCTGTCCCATGATACCAGCCACTAACGAAGATGTCAAACAAGGGCAAATACAGCATTGAGTATCTTGGCCTCTTGTTTGTCCTTTGCCTCCAGACCCTTTTGCCCCACCCAGCAGATACCCTACATTTTCCCTAGTCTTTTCTTTGCTGTCCATTTTCCTGAGAAGTCCTTGTTGCCCTTCACATTCCCTGCCAAGTTCAACTCCAGATTGGCTTTGGCTTTAACAGCATCCCCTTCATGGTTGGGCAGTGTATCTGTTCTTCTTCTGAGGCACCTGGCCCTGCTTCCACTTTTAGTATGCTCTCTTCTTATGTTTGAGTTTTGAACCAGAGAACTCGAAATACACATTTTTTCATTACATATAATATTCAAACTCTGCAGAGGACATCCCTACTCTTAAGCTGGTACTTATTCACCCAGTACCACAGAAAAGCTTAAAGGTGCCATTTAATGTTGGAGGTGTTACCTTTCAGGTGAGAGAAGCCCTTGTCCCTTGAGGTCTTTAAACATCCACTCACATTTAAGAACAGGGGTATTAACTGCAGTCTTGTGGCATACATCAGTAGTTGTATGCCTGTTCACATTTCCCTGCAGTTTTCTCCTGAAATTCCTACTGGAGCTCCAAAAAGGACCAGATTTGGCTAAATAGCAAACAATTTAAAAAATTCACATCCTTACAAAACAAAGCAACTTAAAAGTGTATTTTGAGAGAACAATTTACAGAAATTTATACTAAGATATAGTATCAACCAGTAAAAGGATTGGGATAAAATGAATTTGTAGAGAAAGAATACTGACTTGACATTTATCAAGCAAAATCATTCAACATACCTCTTCCTTTTGAAAGGTGACTTTGGCATGTCAGCCACAGGGATCATCTGTTCTCCTGGACGTACCCACATAATGGGACCATCATCACTGTCTTTACGACTCTCTAATTTTAAGCTAGAAAGTGTTCCCCATGGCAGTGTACACTAATGAGAAATACAAGCCACAATTTTCAAGTGAGTTACTTTAAAATCTTTTTAAAAGCAGCCTTTATCTGTCACAACAAAAACATTTATTAAACCATTCAATTACCTAAGCAACTATCACATACTCTCACTGTATTGTAACAGTACTAGACAGTACATTGACCCCCTTCTCCCAACCCATTCCCTTCTGTCCTTACTTTTAAGAAGGGTGATTCTTCCAACATATCAAGGAATTCAGGGAAGTAATCCCCCACTTCCTCATCAACTGCTCCAACCAGGCTGATCTGTCTCATTGGGCCAGCTCTATATGTACCATGAGAGTATGTTCTTTTTACCTACAAGTAGAATATGACAGCAACAGTTATACTGAGTCCACTGCCGCTCAACGTCTACATTCAATAAACACCTTTAATCTCTGTGCTTATGGGTTTTGATCAATATTAGTCCTACAGTCTTCAGTATACTTAAGATTATGAAGTCAATCACTATGAACTCATTATCAAAGACAGAAGCTCTTAAACATACATGACAACTTGTATTTTATATATTTTAAAGGCTGAAGATAAGGTTAACTACTTATTGCCTTTAAAGAAAATAACATTCCAGAGCAGTAACTGTGAAAAGCTACTAAGGTATATTCTGCTCAGTAACTAGTAAATAAGGATTCTTACCTGGATTACTCAAGTCTAGCTTAATTTTTACCTTTTTCCTGTAACAGTTAGGCAGGACCCTGAGTTACAACTAAATTCTTAAGTATTTCCTCTGCAGCATGGCCTCTGAGTGAACACATTAACTAGAGCTACTACTGCTCACAGTGAAGACAAGTCTCATAAACAGTTAGTAAAGGAAGAGAAAGGGAATGGTAGCTATTTCTTCATTTTGTTCTGCTGTGTTAACACGTCTTGTGCTCTCCCTTAGAACTTTGAGGGCTATAACATGCACCTCTCATGAAAAACCTTTACTTTGAACCTGAACAGAAACACATATTCTTATCAGGTTTTTTTCAATAATCTCATCTGTCATGTTACATCAACAAAATACTTAAGCACGAGACTGATGAGGATCACTTCCCCTTAAGCTTCCCATCTCCTGTTTAGCAGGCTGAAAGACATAGTGCTATTAATAGATGAAATGTGATCAGATCAGAGCAGAGGGAAGAGCAGATGGATTACTGCACGAACAAGTAAGGCTCTCACACTGCATCTCTAGATGTTCTGCACCCAAAGCAAGAAAATTCAGAAAAGGAGTAAGGAAAACAGTTAATGCAGTAGTGCTTACTTCTGGCCCTCACCTGAACAGACCACTAAAAGTCCTAGTAATTATGGCAGTGCAGAGGAGAATGAGCAGCAGTTCCTGAAAACAGGACTATATCATTGTCCTGGGTTCAGCTACAGCAGTCATTTTTTCTCCTTCTTAGTAGCTGGTGCAGTGCTGTGTTTTTGACTTTCAGTCTGGGAACAATGCTGATAACACCGATGTTTTTAGTTGTTGCTCAGTAATGTTTACTCTGACCAAGGACTTTCTCAGTCCCATGCTCTGCCAGGGAGGAGGGGAAGCCAGGAGGAAGCAGAGACAGGACACCTGACCCAAACTGGCCAAAGGGGTATTCCATACCACAGCACGTCATGCCCAGTATAGAAACTGGGGGGAGTTACCCGGAAGGCCCAGATCGCTGCTCGGGTCGGGCTGGGTATCGGTCGGCGGGTGGTGAGCGGTTGTGTCCTTTTCCCTTGTTATTCCTTTTATCATTATTATTGGTAGCAGTAGTGGTTTGTATTATACCTTAGTTACTGGAGAGCTGTTATCTCAACCCGTGGGAGTTACATTCCTTCGATTCTCCTCCCCATCCCTCAGGGAGCGGGGGGAGGAAGGAAAAGGGGGGGAGTGAGCGAGCGGCTGCATGGTTCCAAGTTGCCGGCTGGGCTTAAACCACGACAATCATACAACATGGAACAACAGCATGCCCTTCGGAGAAGCTAAACTGATGTAACCAAATGCATTCCAGAGATGCAGAACCAAATCATCTTCTTCAGATCACCTTGGTCAGCATCTACACCCAGGAAATGGAGAACGATCTACAATATGTTTGAGGTAACATAATGGTAAGCCACACTGAAAAGAGCAGTACTGCTTGGGAGTAGTACTCCCCGATGCCCCAAACCCTTTGTGCTTTGTGATAAAGCATCAGAAAACATTAATTTCTGCTGAATCTGCATCAGCTCAGCCCTCAACACAAAGCCTCTGGGACAAAGCATCAGGAGCTCGCACACCTAAGGCACTGGGACAAGGAAGGGACACTCATTTGTCACTACTGGCTTACTGGATAGACCAATTCTAAAGTACCCTAAAACCACTTTCTGAAGGTACAGATAGTCAGAAATCTGTTACTCACAGTTTATTGATAAACCTAACATGCAAAAGGATGTCTCTTCCACTGGCATAAGTAACTTAGTATTCCACCACAGCAGACCAAGATATTAAGCTGCTGTTTTCATCCACACCTGAAAAAAGAGAACCATTTTTCTGCCTTTTTTCTTGCTTCCTTCTGCTACCACTACCATTCTCCTAAGTAACAAGCAATAGGACAAGAGGAAATGACCTCAAGTTGCACCATGGGAGGCTTAGATCTGATAGTAGGAAAAATTTCTTCACCACAAGGGTTGTCAAGCATTGGAACAGGCTCCCCAGGGAAGCGGCTGAGTCACCATTCCCAGAGGTATTTAAAAGATGTGGAGATGTGGTGCTGAGGGACATGGTTTAGCACTTGGCAGTGCTGGGTTAACAGTTGGACTCGATGATCTTAAAGGTCTTCTCCAACCTAAACAATTCTATGATTCACACAGCGTATGATAAACTAGTTGTGGAACTACTCCAACTGAAAACTCTGCAACTTAGCCCAAAAATAGTAACTGAAGTGAAGCTAGAAGAGGCTGTGAAGCTTTCAGCTCATCAACTCACCCATCTGGCTTATGTACCACTAGATGCTGGCAGTGAAGCATAATGAGAGCAAAGTGTTTAAGTGCAATATAATCCTTTTGCTTGAGGTGGATCAATTAAGAAATTTCTTATATACCGCCAAGAAGACCATGTCACTGGAAGTTAAAACCGAATGATGAATTCAACTCTTTTTAAGCATTATTTGTCCATCCAAATTCACTTCTAGCTCTCTTGATCAATTATGCTTCCCTCATTCACCAAGTAGAACAGATTCCTTTTCAAGATCCAGCTTGGGAGAGGTAAAATACCAAAAATAATACTAAGATAATGCCAAAGTTACAAAAGATGAGCAGTTTCTTCTAAGACCATATTCAGAGTCGTATCACTGCAAACACACAGAGTGAAGTGTTCATGCATTTAAGAGCTCTGTGGTGGGTTAGCCGCAGGCAGCAGCTAAGCACCTTACAGTCTCTTGCTCACACACCCCCCTGCAATGGTCAGAGACATGGGAGAGAAGGGAAAGACAAGGAAAAGTATGGGACCACATAAAGACAGTTTAGTGAGTGAAGAAAAAAGGAAAAGAAAGTGGAAAAAACACCAAGTGGTGTTTTTCATCACTCACTACCTCAACGCAAGCAGATCGATGCTCGGGCAGTCTATGAGCAATCGCTACCTTCCACAGCAGCACTCTCCCCGGCCCCCTAGACTCAGGTCAGGGGTTGCTGTTTAAATGACACTACCTTAGATTGGGCCAATGAATCAGGAAAACATATTCTAAAAGGCTCATTCTTAGAGGGAAGATTTTTCATTCAGTCTAAAATTAGACTAAGTAGTAGCGTGGAAACACCAAAAACCTCCCATTGATCTTTGACCAATGACAAAAATAAAATCAATCCTCTTAAAGACAGCAATAATCTGTGGGATATTAGATAACAGCAACATTTTCCTTTCCATTTAGCGTCAGTATCCTTTGGCTGGTTTGTTCACAGGAAGACAAAAAGAATCCTCTGTGTATTTCTAAACTCACACCACCAGTGCTGACATACTAAACCCAGAACTTCATCATTGAATTCTACACATTAAACTATGCACTGACCCCAAATCAAGTATTATACACCTTTAATAAGGTAGTCTTCCTCAGTGTAATTTTTACAGGTTACAGTGTGACAATGTTCTTAGAATGTTGCAAAGTTGCTCAAATATATAGCTGGAACAATCTAAATCCAGAATGAAAGCAGAGAAGTTATGGAGTCACCATCCCTGGAAGTGTTCCAGAAACATGTAGATGAGGCCCTTAGTGACACGGTTTAGTGATGGCCTTGGCAGTCCTGGAGTAAAGGTGGGACCTGATGATCTTAAGGGTCTTTTCAAACCTGGCTGGTTCTATCAATCAATGGCACGTAGTTCTAGCACATGGTAAACACCATCAAATCAATACACATGAATAACAAGATCACCAGTTAAATACAGTATCATACAATGGACAGGTAAAATAGAAACATGTAACTGAATAAATACAAAACAGCCTAACTTATTTCGTCTTGTGCAGCTTATATTTGAAGTATGTCACCTAAAACACATAAAAAAGGAGACTGTGTCATTCTCTCGCATCAAGGTTATGGAAAATGATGACAGTAAAACCACCACTGAATTCAGAATTAGTAATACTTGAGAATTATCTGTTTCTGTAACTAGTGTGACTTCAACTGATTTTTTTAGTGTAACTTGCTCATTTTAAGTAAGGAGTTCTAAAAATACAAGTATTTTGGCATAAACATCTTAATGTCTAAAAGAATTTGGACTAAATCTGTATATATATATATATAATATTGACAACAACATACTTGAGCGTTATCATCTTACAAATAGAAAACAGGCACTAGATGTTAAAGACGTTTCCATTTTCTGTTTGAAAAAGGCACAAACTGGAAGGAAGAGCCCAGGGAAACGAAACATTTCAAGAGATTAATCTGAAAAATGTAAACTGAGGCAAGACACAACTAATTCCTATTTGTAATGTAATGGGGGGTGTTGAAGTTCTAACATTTTCCTGTGAGAATTTTAAGTGTTTTAAGTCCTTCCGTTTTCCAGCTTTAAAACCAGGAAAAAGCAGTTCTCATAGAACAAGATGTAATCCAAACCCACTGAACCCAAAATAATTTCAAGAAACCCATACATAAAGCCCCACCAAAGACCAACAAAAACATTAAATCACCATAAAAATATGCTGGGAAATGAGCAGAAATAGTGGGTTTCCATTTCACTACACAAGTGCACAAAAGCACATTCGTAGTGCACTTAAACATTTGTATCTTGGCCTGGAAACATTCATCTCACATTCACTGTTACTCCTCTAAACCTGTGATCTGGAACACCACACCATGAAGAGGCAAGGCAG